GGGCCCTTAAGATCAATCATTCACGCCAGTCACAGTGGTGCTCATCTGTAATTTCAACTACTTGGGAGGCTGAGGCAGGAGGATGGCAAGTTCGAGGCCAGACTAGGTGACTTAGTGAGATCCTTTCTCAAAATATAAAAGAAAGGGTTGGGGATGGAACCGAGTAGTAGAGCCCCACTGGGTTCCTTCCCTAGTACTATAAACAAATCAATGGGTTCATCCAGTTTTCATATTACCCACAGAGGGTGCTTCCAAGTCTCACTCATTTTGAAGGAGCCTTTTCAGAGTCCTGAGTTTGGAAAAAAAAAAAAAAAAAACAGAATGCACAGGCCTTTTTCAAAATGGCATTGCAAGTCACCCAGGCCAATGCAGTAATGGGCAGCCAGTCACACAAACAAGTCTCTGAGAGAACTGATGGACAAGGAAGTTGTTGATACTAGCAGTGTTATGCTGATGTTGTCGTGACCGTTGGCAATCAAATTTAACATGTATTCAATGTGCCTACTGTGTGTGTTCCAAGCATCAAATCTGCTTCCTCTGGTTTCTGTTCTGCACAGTAAATGAAAATATTCTCTTGGGCCTGAGTCAAAATGACAAGATATTTGCCTTAATTTGCTTAAGAGCTTTGGCTCCAACTGTCCTTGTTCTGCTCTTTGTGTCCTTAAACCACTGTCCAAGACCGTCTGTTCCGTGTCCGGATCCTTTTTCACTCACAGATTGCAAATGTGCCCTCAGTGTTCTCTGGCAATCCAGTTTCTTTAGTAACCATTTCATTCTTTCCTTACTCCTCTCAAACTTCCCCAGCTTTCTCATGTACCTTCAACTTGCCTCTGGTCACTGAGAAAATGGAATCCATCAGGTGGAAATTTCCTCATCTTCCCAACATTGAATCTACACAAGCTGACTTTTTCCTAATTTCCCTCAAAGAAGTGTCCCTCCGTCCCCTCCCACCCCTTGCCTTCCCAGGGACTCTTCTCTTTTGCTTTATCAACCTCTGGCTCTCCTGTTACCCCTGCCTCACCAGTGTCTGAATCATAGTCTGGCCTCTCCTTCCTTGAAAGAAAAATAACAACCATTCAACCAACCAACCAACCAACCAACCAACCAACAAACCAACCCAACAAACAAAAACCCCAATCCCAAACTACCCTGTGCCTTCCAACGTTTTATGGTTTGTCTATACTTACTGAATTTCCTTGCTTAGTTTTCATTCGTCCTTCAAAACATTCCAGTTCAGCTTTGCCATCCTTACCTCCCAAACTCCACCATACCAGCTGTCAGGTCACCGGAGTGAATTAAATAGTAATCACACACATGCACACACACACATAAAATATATACATACAAATATATAAAATCTCTGTATGTTTTCAAGTCCCAACCCCAGAAACTATAAGTATGGACTTATTTGGAAAATGGAACTTGTAGATGTAATTGAGTTAAGCATCTAGAGATTAACCAGGATTTAAGCTGGGGCTTAGGTCCAGTGACAGGTATCCCTGTAAGAGAAAGATAGTGGAGATGTAAGAAAGGGGGGACACCCAGGAGAGCAAGCCGAGACGATGGAGACAGAGGTCGAAGTGATATGTCTCTAAACCGAGATTTGCCAAAGAATGTCAGCAGTCACCAGAAGCTGGAAGAGGTGAGGGAAGATTCTCCACAGCCTTTGGAAGTCTAGAGACTTTTGGTCTTCGGAACTGTGAGAGAATACATTTTTGTGATTTTAAGCCACCAAAGTTGTGGTAATTTGTGTGGTAGTTTCAATGACCTCCGTGTTGCAAAACCCCAGACACATTCCATCTCTCTCTTACACTGCAGTGGTATTTGATTTAGTTGACTGCTCCTTGAACATCTTAAAGTCCTGGCTTCCAGGGAACTTCCACTTTCTGTTGTGTTCTCTTTTCTCAGTGAGTGCTTATCCTTGCCAGCTTTTGGCTTCTACTCAACTTCCCCAATGTCTGCTTGTCTCCCTTTACATTCTCTTAAGCAACCTCACTCAACCATACCTATGGCTCTAAATAACCTCCATGAACCTGCTTCCCAAATCAGTGCCAACCTAGACCAGCCGACAGTGTCTGCACCATGCCTTCCTCATAAAGCAGCATCAGGGACAGTTACACATTTTACTGTCATCTCTTACATGATCAAACATCATGTAAGTATAAAACAAAACTTAATATTAACTCCTATTTACCTTTATTTGATGTTGAATTTACCCACCTTCTCCCGCCCCCAGGGATTAAACCCAGGGTCTCGCTCATACTGACAAACTCCCAGGTGATTTTTTTCCTTTGGTTTCTTCTGGAACATCTTTTTCTTATGTGCAACCTCCTCTGCTGGTTTAAGAATAACTTGTTCTTTAGTGGGGAATCATCTTGATGTGGGAGGGGGAGCTTGTGTCTGAGTTAACCTGAGCCTGGGCTCTGAGAGTGTGATGTGCATCTTGGGTGCCTCGTTCATCTGGAGGTGCTCAGTAGCCACAGAATCTGCCGAAACCTTTCAAGTTCAGCAGCACCCTCTGCCTTATGAAACATGTGTAGCAAAAATTCAGACCTTTTCTTGGGGGGACCACTGGCCCTTTGTACAGCCTCAAGGTTTGGCCTGGGCACACCTCCCAATCCACCACTGTGATAATGGAATGGCACACATGGCTTCTGTAAGGTGACGCCTTTCAGATACTTGGTGGCTTTTTGGGTAGACCTACGTTTGATGGGCTGGGCCGTTTCACTGAGCTCCTGAGGTGAATATGAAGACTGGAACCTCTTAACTTGCAT